TTCTAACCTCTGAAGTCGGATAATGGTCCTGCCTTTATATCTCAAATAACCCAACAGATTTCTTCCACACTAAACATACACTGGAGCTCACACATCCCCTACAGACCACAATCCTCAGGGAAAATGGAAAAGGCTAATCCCATCATTAAATCATTAAATCCCTGACTAAACTATGCCTTGAAGCTAAGGAGCCATGGACCGCCTCACTGCCACTAGCCCTCGCCCACATCAGAGCAGCACCCAGGACCCCCTCCTTTCTCGAAAGTCCCTTTGAGTTAGTGTGCAGAAGGCCCTCCCTCCTAGACAACTTCCCTTCCAGAGAAACACCCTTGGGAGACTACTTACCTGTTCTTAACTTGGTCAGACAATTGTTGAGGGATCATGCAGACAAGACTCTTCCTTGGCCATTAGAGGGCAAAATACCCCCAGGCACCCTACAACTGGGAGATCGGGTCTTAGTAAAGGAATTAAATTCCCCACCTAATCTCGGGCCCTGATGGCAGGGCTCCTACCAAGTACTCCCAACTACCCCAACAGCAGCCAAACTTCTGGGACATCCCACCTGGTATCACCTCTCCAGGCTAAAGTCCCTGAGACCTCCACACCCTACGATTTATGAGAATAACAGTCTCCGACCTGCCACAGCCAGGATTCGGACCTACCAGACTCCGCCTGACCCAGATCCCGTAAGAAGAGGGCAAATAAGCAGGTCTCCTTGTTCCTGTCCTGTCTGTGAAGGAATAAGTATCTCTACTTCTGACAACCTCCCTCCTCTAATTTAACAAATACTCCAGGTCCTGGCTGCCGTTCCCCCTCCTCTCTATAGCCTTATTCTAGCTTTCTTGTGGGACTCATACCTACAGGGGACTTTGATTATCCCTGGGATGACATTGTAGAGCGTCTGAACCCCTCTAGGTCCTCATAATTATGGTCTAGTATATCTGGATACTTGTTCTATTTATTTTCCTCCTCATTCTCCTTGCTGCTCTCTTCAAGTGTCATTACAATCCTGCTCCCATACCAAGTAGATCTCTTTTTCTGCCTGTGTGGGGAACTCTGACCTCCACTAAACTTTCCATGTCTTGTGGTAGGACGCCTATCTACGGGGAGGTTTTGATTATCCGTGGGAGGAAATCCATAATTAACCACAATGCCAAATTGGCCCTTCTTAAACTGACATGAGTCCTTTCTTTCTTCTTTTATTTTTTCCCTTCCTACTAGCTTCCAGTGTGCCCTTAACTTCTACTTAATATCTCCCGAATTCTTAACCTCACTCATCGCCTCTTAAATGCTACTAATCCCAAATGGACAGAATTATTGGCTCTGTCTCCCCATGTCCTTTTCCAGATACACAGTGGCCCCACCCTCCCTGCATGCATGGACTAATATAGCTCTCCATTATATTGAGGGGGAGATCATAGGGGAGGTCATGGGGGAGATCCATTCCAGCTCATGCTACTCGATGAACTCTGACTTCAAAAAACCGAAGTCACAAAAGATACTCTAACAGCAAGGGGGGTACAACTCCTCTGATGGTATCTTTCCAATATAACCAGATATTTCTCTGCTCAGACCCCTATTTTAGAACCCATAACCACTGACAACACCCTGACCTTTTAAGCTCCCTTATGCCTGAGCAGGAATCAGGCCTCTGGCAAGGCACTGGGACACCTCAATCCTAGTTTCTGTAACTTCGCTCTCAACATCAGCCCTTCAACAATTCACATTAATTATCGTATTTCCCAATATGCGTCCTTCAGAAACCCTGCTCGATTTTCATGGAAGCCGTCGGTTGCCACCACCAGACTCCTTGACAGGCAGGCCGGCTTCTGTCCAGGCAGACCCTCCAACTGTCTGCCCGTTTCCCGTGGGAAGGTTGCATTAACCCCACCTCTACAGAAGGGCTTCACATATCTGCTACTTCTCCCTCCTCTGATTGGTTCTGGGTAGATGTCAAAGGAACTTTATTCACTGTGAAAACAGAACCCAAGGGGCATCACAGACCATACCCACAGGCCCTTTCCAGCCTCCCACCAGAGCCACCCTGACAGGGACCCTTTCCACACGGGAAAATGAAATGAAAACTTCCACCAGAAATAAAATTGCTCACCTACTCTCTACAGAAACAACCTCTGTTTAGGGAACGAAGGACTCCTTTTCCTCTGTGGCACTAATACCTGTCTCTGCCGTGCAGCGAACTGGACAGGAACCTGTACATGAGTATTCCTAGCCCCTGAAGTCAACATTGCCCCAAATAACCAATCTCTAAAAGTCCCTTTAAGTGCCTTGAGGGTGAGACCAAAATGGGATCTAGCTATTGTTCCCCTCCTCGCTGCTCTGGGTATCACAGCAGGCTCCGGAACAGGAATTGAGGGATTAGCTACCTCCCTCCGCTATTATCAAAGTCTCTCTAAAGATCTCTCTGACAGCCTAGAAGATATTGCAAAAAGCATTGTCACTGTTCAAGATCAAATCCATTCTCTTGCAGCTGTCACTCTCCAAAACCGGAGAGGATTCGATCTCCTGACAACCGAGAAAGGAGGCCTCTGTCTCTTCCCAGAGAGCAGTGCTGCTTTTATGCAAATCAGTCTGGTGTAGTTAGCGACACGGCAAAAAATTAGCTGATTGCCCTGGCCGGTTTGGCTCAGTGGTTAGAGCGTCGGCCTGCGGTCCTGAGAGACCCGGGTTCGGTTCCCGCTAAGGGCGCATACCTCGGTTGCAGTTTGTCCCCGGCCCTGGTCGGTTGTGCGGGTGGCAGCCACTCGATGTGTCCCTTTCACATCGATGTTTCTCTCTCTCTCTCTGTTCCTCTTTCTCCCTCCCACTCTACCTGAACAAAAAAGGAAAAATGTCCTTGGGTGAGGATAAAAATAAATAAAATAAAATAAAAAAAAAAATTAGCTGATCGGGCCTCGAAGATTTGGCAACAGCTCTCGGAATCTTGGGGCTCATTGTTACAAAAATGAAATTAGTCCTCTTGGCTCCTACTAATGCTTCTCCTTGCTCTTCTTTTATTTATTTATTTATTTATGTATGTATGTATGTATGTATGTATGTATGTATTTATTTATTTATTTTTATCCTCACCCGAGGATATTTTTCCATTTTTTGTACAGATAGAGTGGGAGGGAGAGAGAGGAAGGGAGAGAGAGAAACATCGACGTGAAAGGGACACATCGAGTGGCTGCCACCCGCACGACCAACCAGGGCCGGGGACAAACTGCAACCGAAGCACGTGCCCTTAGCGGGAACTGAACCCGGGTCTCTCCGGACCACAGGCCGACGCTCTAACCGCTGAGCCAAACTGGCCAGGGCTATTTTTTAAAATAAGTTTTTATTGGATTTTTTTAAAGAGAAAGGAAGGGAGAGAGATAGAAACATTGAAGTGCGAGAGAAACATTGATTGGCTGCCTTCTGCACACCCCCCCACTGGGGAACGAGCCCACAACCCAGGCATGTGCCCTGATCGTGAATTGAACTGGAACCTCTCAGTCCATGGAACAAAGCTCGATCCACTGAGCCACACTGGCCGGGCTTCTTGCTCTTCTTTTTGGTCTCCGTATCCTATGCCAATTTTCTTCGTTTCCCCAGAACCATGTCCAGGCCTGCACCAACCAGTCCATTGGCAAGGTGATGCTTCTTTAATCATCGGTCCAATACCAACCCCTGTCTCAGGTTCCAGAAGGCCAGTACTGCATTCCAGCTGACTCCTGTCGAAGTCCATCCCCCATCACCCCCGCACCCCCATTCAGCAGGAAGCAGCTACAGAAGAACCGACCTCGACCCCCAGTCCTTAACAACTGAAGGCTGGAATGTTAGGCCAGAAAGCACCCTGCCACAGGAATGCCTCCGTAGATATGGCCTGTTCCTTGTTCTCATTTATCAGAACATTTTGTTTATCTTGCCTTACCACACATTCTCCACTGGTCCATTATGGTTAAGCAGCCAACATCCAGTTTGCCTAGTCGTTGTTTCTGTATATGCCCCGAGAAACCTGCCAATAAAGCCCGCCTGAGACTCCATGTAAGCAGTGAGCCCTGGCCAATCTGGGGCTGATGCCACTGTACTCAGCCCGTCTGCTTTGCAGACGCCCTGAACGAAGTTCTGTTCCTGCATCCCTTTGGCCTCATGCGTTCCTCCCTCAGTGGTCTAACAACTTCCAAATTCTCTCCCATAATATATTCCTCCCGTGCCTCCCATTGCTCGAGTCGTCGTGTGTGAGGGTTGAATGGGTCTGCCTTTGCAGTCAGCTTCAGCCTCCTGGAGAAACCATGTCTCCTGCAGCTTTGGGTGTCACCTGTTGTACCGGGCACACGTCTCTGCACAGGAGCAGATGCCATTTGAATTCTCTGTGCATTTGGGAGGAGGAATGCCAGGGCTGCCTACCGAAAATTATCCGAACAAGAAATATGTGGGCCGGGGACCCCGAATCACCTCGCAAAACTGCTGCTCTTCGTTTCCTCAGTCTTGCCTCACGCACAGTTTCTAGTTTCGTTGTCTCAGTTGGAAGTCTGGCCCGAAATCCCATGTACTCAGGCCCAAAGTAACCATCTCCAGTTTTGAAATACAGGCCTGTACTCATACATCCCGTCAAAGACAGGATGCCTGGTCCCGGGCCTTTGCATTGTCAACAGATTCTCTTGGCTACATTCCGTGTTAATATCCGTGTGAATGTTTATATTTAAGGAAGTAAAAGAATGATTTGTTTCTGGGGGGAGGGAAGGGGGGTGCATTGTTCATATTCCCCACTTTACTTTGGAGTTTACAGATGGGAGATGCCCCAGAGCAGACACACAGTGGTTTGATTCGGAAACTTGAAGGAGAGCGAGCGAGCTAGCGAGCTCAGGATGTTCTCGGAGACCTGACCGAAGAGGCAGTGTGTGCTTCAGGGCTGATGAGTTTTGTCGGGGGAGCCATTTCGGGAGTCGATGTCTGAGAATGTGAGCCATGGAACGTGGAACGAATCCCTCAGTAGAGCCACTCTTTCTGTTTATTTGTAGCTCCAGGATGGACTTTCTGGTTCTCTTCTTGTTCTACTTGGCTTTACTGGTGATTGGTGGTGGTACGATCTGCATCTGCGCGAAAACCCGTCACCTGAAGGGCCTGGTCAGAGGAGGCACACAGGTAACCATGGTGCTTGGAAACCACTGGGTTTTGAATATCACCAGTGTCCTGACAGAATGAGGAAGAGACACCATTTTTATTCAGTGTGTACTTGTTCTTTCACTTACGGCAGTTGTGGTAGATTCCAAAGTCACCCTCCCTTTTTTTTTTCTTATTGTTGAAATTATTCTTGTATCGATGCTTTGATAGAAGGTAGCATTCCTATGGTTATTTTTCTCGGGATCTGATGCCTGTAATTGCCTGACCCATTTGAGCAGTGTCTGCCCGGAGGCTGAGGGGTGAGATGGGGACATAGGAGCAGAAAGCTGCGCCTTGGGCTGCCCATACTCCTTCGAGGATCAAAGTGAGCGAAACGGGGGTGAGCAGCCTCGGGAAGGACTTGACTTGGAAGGATCCGGGCTAATGGTCAGTGGTCTGGAGGTGGGCTCTGGAATGTAGGACTGAATCCGGACAGAGAAAGGAGCAGTGTTCGTATTAGCATTACCTGCTCCACCGCTCTGCTGCCCTCCCTGTGCCCGGAGACCCTGGCGTGGTGCCTTCTTGAGGTCTGGGTGCGAAATGGGGGAGTTGGCTCCAGAGGAAGGCCAGCTGAGGAAGCCATCCTCCTCATTCTCTCTCAAATCTCTTCTCTGCCCATATGCAGAAACAGTATTACCATACTGCCTGCTGAACAGGAAGCATCTAACTGGGGCTAGGGGGAGAATGAAGAATGAAATTGAATGTTTCTCTTTGCTTTTGTTTTAGATATTTTCCTATATAATTCCAGTATGCCTTCAGAGAGCCACGCTAAGATTGCTTCATTACCTCTTTCACACACGGTATTTCTATTCTGTTTTGATCGTTAATTGTTGCTGTCCTGTAGCTTCAGGAAGCTCCTCGTGTTTTCCAGTGTGGCACAGAGAAGGGTGCTGCAAAGGATTGGGGTGTTGGGTTCAGAACTCTCCTCATAGATAATCTGCCTTTGTCTCTGGGGGTTCGCCATGTCTACTTTCATTTATTTATTTTAAATATTTTTTCTTTGCCCTGGCCAGTTTGGCTCAGCAGTAGAGCGTCGGCCCGTGGATCAATGAGTCGTGGATTCGATTCCAGCCAAGGGCATGCACCTCGGTTGCAGTTTGTCCCCGGCCCTGGTTGGGATTGTGTCGGGGACAACTAGTCGATGTGTCCCTCTCACGTCGATGTTTTTCATTTTTATTTTATTTTATTTGGTACATGCCCCTAGCGGGAACCGAACCTGGGACTCTCTGGTCCACAGGCCAATGCTCCAACCGCTGAGCCAAACCAGTCAGGGCCACATCATTTTTCTCTCTCCCTTTCTCTCCCTCGCCCTCTCTCCCACTCTATCTGACGATAAATGGAAAAGTATCCTCAAGTGAAGGGAAAAAATATAAATTAAAAAGAATATATTTTTTTTCTTTATTGATTTTAGAGAGAGAGAGAGATAGAAACATCAATGAGAGGGAACATTGATTGGCCACCTCCTGCATGCCCAGCTTGGGGATCAGGCCCACAACCTGGGCACATGCCCTGATTGGGAATCGAACTGGTGACCTCTTGGTGTATGGGTCGATGCGCAACCACTGAGCCACACTGGCCAGGCTACTTTTATTTATTTTTTTAATATGTTTTATTGATTTTCTTAGAGAGAAAGGGAGAGGAAGGGAGGGAGGGAGGGAGGGAGGGAGGGAGGGAGGGAGGGAGGGGGAGAGAGAGAGAGAGAGAGAAACATCGACGTGAGAGAGAAACATCCATTGGTTGCTTGGTTGCCTCCTGCATGAACCCTGACTGGGCATGAACCTGCAACCTGGGCATGTGCCCTGACCGGGAATCGAAGCGGCGACCTTTCAGTGCATGGGACAATGCCCAACTAACTGAGGCACACCGGACAGGGCCCATGTCTACTTTTAAATAGAAATATTTAAAGGATGAGAAAATATTGATTTGCATTTCTGTAAAAAGAAATATTTTCTGATACCGAGATCTCAATTCCCAAGACAGATGATAATAATAATAATACATAACATTTATTGAGTATTTACCATGTGCTAGGCACTATGTTTGATGATTCAAATAGTTTCTTATGTAATTCTTATTAGTACCTCAAGCCCAAAGGAAGCAGTTGGCCCTTGTCTTAGTACTGTGTGATTTCTTCATGGAGCAGCCCCCAGGAACAAGCCATGTGCTCTTTCCTTTCAGAAACCACACCTTCATCATCCTGCACCTCATCTTGCAAGGAATGGTTTATACTGAGTACACCTGGGAAATATTTGGCTACTGTCAAGAGCTGGACTTCTCCCTGTGGTACCTTCTTCTGCCCTATCTGCTGCTGATTGTAAACCTGGTTTTTTTTACCCTGAGTTGTGTAACTGACCCTGGTAAGTTGAGGCTCTTGGTATAGACAGCTCAACTGTCAGTCTTACTAATAATGCTGCAAACAAGTAGTGATTCCTAGAAGGACTCTGCAAAATATTTGATATTTAGTGTTTGCATGATCTTTCAGGTTTTGTTTTTTGTTTCTGTTAATCCTCACCCAAGGATATTTTCCCATTGATTTTTAGATAAAGTGGGAGGGAGGGAGGGGCAGAGAGAGACATCAATATGAGAGAGACACATCAATTGGTTGTCTCCTACACTCCGACTGGATCTGTGGATCGAACCTGCAACTCAGGTATGTGCCCTTGACTGGGAATTGAACCCGAGACCCTTCCATCCGATGCTCCAGTCGCTGAGCTAAACCGGCCAGGGCTGATCTTTCAGTTTTGAGTGTTTTCTAATTTTAGAAATTTTTTTTTTTTTTATCCTCACCCGAGGACATTTTTCCATTTTTTGTACAGACAGAGTGGGAGGGAAAGAGAGGAAGAGAGAGAGGGAAACATCGATGTGAAAGGGACACATCGAGTGGCTGCCACCCGCACGACCAACCAGGGCCAGGGACAAACTGCAACCGAGGTACATGCCCTTAGCGGGAACCGAACCCGGGTCTCTCCGGACCGCAGGCCGACGCTCTAACCACTGAGCCAAACTGGCCAGGGCTGTTTTCTAATTTTATTTTTTCTCTCTTTGACTCATGGGTTATTTAGAACAGTTCAAAATTTTCCATATAAAAACCTTTTTAAAGATTTTTTATTGACTTTTTGAGGAGGGGAGGGAGGGAGGGAGGGAGGGAGGGAGGGAGGGAGGGAGGGAGGGAGGGAGGGAGAGAGAGAGAGAGAGAGAGAGAGAGAGAGAGAGATACATTGATGTGAGAGAGAAATATCAACTGCCTGCCTCTTGGGAATCAAGCCAGCAACCTGGGCATGTGCCCTGACCAGAAATCAAACTGGCAACTTTTCAGTGCACAGGATGATGCTCAGCCAACTGAACCACACTGGCCAGGGCCAGATACATTTTTTTAATTTAAATTTTTGATGCTTCCACTTAATTGTGTTATATATAGAGCTTATGGTCTGTAGGATACTATTTCTTTGGAAAATTGTATTGATATTTGCATGGTGCCTGGGTATGTGGTTTTTATAAATGCTCTGTGTGTGCTTGAAAAAAATTTGTTCTTGCATACAGAGAAACCATTCATTTTCTCAAGTTTGTTACTTATGTTCAAATCTTACCTTCATACTAATTTTTTTGTTTGATCAGTTTCTGAGAGAGGCATGTTATCTTATTCTGATGATAGATTTGACTGATTTCTTCTTGTAAGTTTTTGCTCCATCTTTTTTGAAACTGGTGTGTGTATATGTATATTAGTTATGTGTGTGTGTGTGTGTGTGTGTGTGTGTATGATGCATTCAAGTTTAGAATTAGTATTATCTTTTCTTTGAATCTTTTTTCAAAATATAATGAGCTCTGGCTGGTGTGGCTCAGTAGTTAGAGCATCAGCCCTTGCACCAAAGGGTCTTATGTTTGATCTCTGTCAAGGGCATGTACCTAGGTTACAGATTTGATCCCAGCCCCAGTGGGGGTGTGTGCAGGAGGCAACCAATCAATGTGTCTCTCTCTCACATTGATGTTTCTCTCTCTCTTTCTGTCCCTATCCCTCCCTCCCTTCCACGCTTCCTAAAAATCAATGAAAAAAATATCCTTGGGTGAGGATTAACAAACAAACAAAAACTACACACACACACACACACACACTGAGCCTCTGTCACTGGTCTGCTCTTTTAATGCTCTTTTGTCTGATATTAACATTGTAACACTGTCTTTTTTTGCTTGTTTTTTCCCTCAGTGTTTTCCTTTTAACCTTTCCTGTCCCGGAAGCATTGAATGTCCATCAGCTGATGAATAGATAAATAAAATGTGGTCTGCCTATTTAATAGACTTTTATTCATTAATAAGAAGAAATGAAGTAGTAATACCTGCTACCACATGGGTGAACCTTGGAAATAGTATGTCAGTGAAAGAAGCCAGATAGAAAAGACCACTCATATTGTATGATTCTATTTTTATAAAATATCGAGAAAAGGCAGATCCATGGAGACAGATGTATTGATCAGTGGTTGCCAGAAGTTAGGGGATTAGAGAGAAATGAGGAGTGACTGCTGAAGGATTTCTTTCAGGGGCGATGTAAATGTTCTAAAATTGTGTGGTTGCACAACTCTGAATATACTACACACCACTGAAGTGTACGTTTTAAGTGGGTGAATTGGTTTGTTTGAATTGTATCTCAGTAAGCTGTTAAAAACTATACAATTAATTTTTTTAGTGTAGTAAATATGGCTGTTTTATTTTTATTTATTTTATTTTTGTTAATCCTTACCCAAGGATATTTTTTCATTGATTTTTTTTAAATCCTCACCCGAAGATATTTTTACATTTATCTTCAGATAGAGCAGGAGGGAGAGAGGGGGGAAGAGAGAAACATTAATGTGAGAGAGACACATTGGTTGCTTCCCACACGACCCCAACCAGGACTGGGGTTTGAACCTGCAACCCAGGTATGTCCCGTTGACCAGGAATCAAACCTGTGACCCTGTGGGTTGCAGGCCAACACTCTAACCACTCGGCCAAACTGGGCAGGGGTGTTTTATTTATTTTTTTAAATGTGTTTTTATTGATTTTAGAGAGAGAGGAATGGAGAGGGGGAGAGAGAGAGAGAAACAGCGATGAGAGAGAAACATCTATTGACTGCTTCCTCCATGCCCCTTACTAGGGCTTCAGCCCACAACCCTGGCATGTGCCCTTAACCAGGAGTCGAACCAGTGACCTCCTGGTACATGGGACGAAGCTCAGCCCACTGAGCCACACTGGCTGGGCTAAATATGGCTGCTGTAATTGTGCTGTGTGGGGACAGGTTTTGTGAATATCCGGACCACTGTATTGCTTGAAACTGACATTTGCCCTCACTTTTTTCAGGTACTATAACAAAAGGAAATGAAGCGTTGTTTCTTCAAGTTTATGAATTCGATGAAGTGATGTTCCCAAAGAACGCGAGGTGCTCTACTTGTGCTCTAAGGAAACCAGCACGATCCAAGCACTGCAGTAAGTGTGGCTCTGGCTGCTCCAGCTCCTCCCTCCCACAACAGACCCTGGGCTTCATCGGAACGGGGTAGTACAGAAGTCGGAAGGCAGGGCCACTGGACTCCCAGACATAGGGCACCCCCTGCTGGAAGAGCCCAGCAGTGGTTTCCTTCTGATGACTGGATGTGAAATGTGTTCTTGTCCAGTGGGCGACCTTCCGCCCTTCCTTAGCCGCATGGCCACGCACGCTGCCCAAGAGCTGTTTCTGCAGGGTTTTGTGCTTGCAGATTTCAGTCCTGGCAGAGCCTTTTCTGGGGAGTTACCAAGACTAGAGCTGTCCAACAAAAACATAATGTGAGCCACATACATGATTTAAAATTTTGTAGTATCCACTTTACAAAATTAAAAAGAAATAGGTGAAATTAATTTTAACAATATAATTTATTCAGTGTATCTAAAATGCTATTTTAACATGTGGTCAATATTAAAAAGTCATTCATAGGGTAGTTTATTTTGTTTGTCATGCTAAGTCTTTGGATCTGATGAATATTTTATGTTTACAGTACCTCTTATCCAGACATTAAATTTTCATTGGAAATACTGAATTTGTATTTAGTTTTCATAAAATTTACAGTTAGAGGAGCAGAATCACTTACCCAAGGTATTCCAAACATTCTTAAAAGTTTTTTAATAACTGAATCAGCACCAAAATGTCATTTCATTTAATACCCACATCTACACTGATGTAACATTTCATCTTTATCAGAAGAATTGATTTGACTTTAAACAAAAAGTATTAGCTTTGAAACTGCCTAAGTTAAGTAAATTCACTAACTCTTATGTCATCTGAGTATTATTCACATTGAATTCAAAAGGAATATTGCACAAACTGAAAACAACTGTAAATGGATCGAGGTCAACAGAGTGTTCTTCCCAGTGTTTCTTGCAGCCACATATCATGTGCTTAATACCCACATGTGGATAGGTTGATGGCTGCTGTGTTGGACACTGCCGTCCTAGAAGTTGGGGACAGCAGCTGCCATTTCCCCCAGCTCCCATGGCCAGTGTGAAGAAGTGTCGGTAGGTGTGCAGGGTATCATCATCTCCTCAAGGACCAAACCAGGGTTGTGGCTCCCTCTTTCTGTGCAGGTGTGTGTAACCGGTGTGTGCACCGTTTTGACCATCACTGTGTTTGGGTGAACAACTGCATTGGGGCCTGGAATGCCAGGTACTTCCTCATCTACCTCCTGACCTTGACAGCGTCAGCTGCCACCATGGCCATTGTGAGCACTGTGTTTCTGGTCCGCTTGGTGGTGGTGTCGGACTGGTACCTGATGACTTATGTTGATGACCTTGGACACTCCCAGGTTATTGACACCGTCTTTCTTATTCAGGTAATTAATTATTCAGGTAATTATGTGGTGGGCTGTATGTTTCTAACATCCGGTTTCAATTCGGAAAAAGGACATTTGTTTTCCCAGTGAAAACATGAAACCATTCCTGTTTTAAAAAAATTGTTTTTCTTAAAAAAAAATTATTTTTAATCCTCACACGAGGATTTCCTTTTTAAAAATTGACCTTAAAGAGAGGAAGGGAGAGAGAGAAACATCGATCGGTTGCCTCCCACACGTGCCCCAACTGGGGATTGAACGTGCAATCTGGGCATGTGCCCTAACTGGTAATTGAACCCGCCACCTTTAGGTACACTGATGATGCTCCAGCCAACTGAGCCACATTGGCCAGGGCAAAGCCATTCCTTTTTAAAAATTAATATATAGCCCTGGCCAGTGTGGCTCAGTGATTAGAGCATCAGCCCCAGGACTGAAGAGTCTCAGGTTTGATTCCAGTCAAGGGCACAGTTCAGTCCCCAGCCCTAGTTAGGGTTGTGTGGGAGGCAACCAATTGATGTATTTCTGTCACATCGATGTTTCTCTCTCTCTCTCTCCCCCTCCCTTTCTCTCCCTCTCTCCCTCTCTCCCCCTCCCTCCCACTCTATCTGAAGATAAATGGAAAAGTATCCTTGGGTGAGGATTAAAAAAATTGATATATAATATTTTTAAATTGATAAATAATTCACATACCATAAAATCTACTCTTTTAAAGTAAACAATTCAGTGGTGTTAGTATATGCAGGGTTGTGTAACCATCACGACTAGTTTAGGAATATTGCCTCATCCCCAAAAGAATATTTCATCACCCCAAATCTATTAGCAGTCATTCCTCATTCCATTCTCCCCCCAACCATGGCCACTACTAATCTACTTTCTGTCCCTGGATTTGCCTTTTCTGGACATTTCATATAAATGGAATCATACAATATGTGGCCTTTCAGACTGGCTTTTTTCACTGAGCATAAGGTTTTCAAGGTTCATCCATGTTACAGCATGAATCAGTACTTCCTTTTTTTTTTTTTTTTTTTAATCCTCACACAAGGACATTTTTGCATTTATCTTCAGATAGAGAGGGACGGAGAGAGGGAGAAAAAGAGAGAGAAACATCGATGTGAGAGAGACACACTGACTGGCCACCAGCCACACAGCCCCATGGGGCTGGGGACAAACTGCAACCAAGTCACATGCCCCCAGCAGGGACTGAACCCAGGACTCTCTGGTTCATGGGCCAATGCTCTAACCGCTGAGCCAAACCGGCTAGGGCAGTATTTCATGTCTTGTTATGGCTGAAATATATTCCATTGTGTGGATATGCCACATTTTATTCCATTCATCAGTTGATGGACATTTGGGCTTTTCACCTTTTGTTTATTTCTTAACAGTGCTACTATGAACGTTTGTGTAAAGTTGCTGTGTGGACAGTGGTTTTTATTTCTCTTGAGTTATACCTAGGAGTGGAATTGCTGGGTCATATGGTAACTGTATATGTAATCATTTGAGGAACAGCCAGACTGTTTTCCAAAGCAGCTGCGCCATTTTACATCGTATAAAGGTCCCAATTTCTCCATGTCTTCCCCAATACTTGTTATTTTTTTTATAGTCATCCTAGCTCTTTTACCTCCTTGAACCAGATCTACTTTATAGTTATGCATTGCATTTGAATTTCCTTCCTTCCTTCCTTCCTTCCTTCCTTCCTTCCTTCCTTCCTTCCTTCCTTCCTTCCTTCCTTCCTTCCTTCCTTCCTTTTGGTTAATCCTCACCTGAGGATATTTTTCCATTGATTTTTAGAGCAAGTGGGAGGGAGGGAGGGAGACAGGGAAATATCAATGTGACAGAGACACATGGATCGGTTGGGAATAAGTCAAGGTGGTCAAAGGGTACAAACTTCCAGTCCACAGATGAATAAGTCCTGGGGATGTACAGCATGGTGACTGTGGTAAACAATATTGTATTGTGTATTTGAAAGTTGCTAAGAGACTAGCTCTTAAAAGTTCTCACCACAGCCCTGGCCTGTTTAGCTCAGCAGTTAGAGCATTGGCCTGAGGACCAAAGAGTAGCGGGTTGGATTCCAGTCAAGGGCACGGTTCGGTTGTGATTTGATTGCGGTTCGGTTCCTGGCCCTGGTCTTGGCTCTGACTGGGGTCATGTGGGAGGTAGCCAACCGATATCTCTCTCTGAAGATAAATGGAAAAATATCCTCGGGTGAGGATTTAAAAAAAAAGTTCTCACACAAAGAAAAATTGTAACTATGAGGTGCTACATATGTTAACTAACCTTATTGTGGTAATCATTTCTCTCTATATATATATCATTATATTTGTTGTGCACCTTAAACTCTCACAATGCTACATGTCAATTATATCTTAAAGCTGGGTGAGGGGGAAGGGAAGAAAATTTAAAACATCTTGAAAATAAATGAAATGAAGTGAAAACTTTTACCCCTCCCCTCCCAACACTTTCACTACCCAGAAGCAACTGCTTTTGTAGTTTGGTGTCCATATGTCAGGCTTTTTTCCTACGTTTCTTTTTCTTTTCTTTTTTCTTTTTATCCTCACCCGAGGACATTTTTGCATTTATCTTCAGATAGAACGGGAGGGAGAGAGGAAGGGAGAGAGAGAGAGAAACATCAATGTGAGAGAGACACATCAACTGGTTGCCACCTGCACAACTCCAACCGGGCCGGGGACAAACTGCAACCGAGGTACATGCCCTTATTGGGAACCGAACCCGGGACTCTTTGGTCTGTGGCCTACGCTCTAATGCCCGAGCCAAACTGGCCAGGGCTCCTACATTTCTTTATATTGTCATATATGTCCATAGAGTCATTTTTGTGTTTGTACACATGGGGTCCCATTGTGATCCTTGCATCTTGAGTTTCTCACTGGGCAATATATTACCAACATCTTTTCCAAATAAGTACATAGAAATTGATCTCTCTGTTAATTTTTTTTTTATTAATCCTCACCTGAGGATGTTTTTCCCCATTGATTTTTTTTTTTTATCCTCACCCAAGGACATTCTCCTATTTTTTGTTCAGATAGAGTGGGAGTGAGTGAGAGGAAGAGAGAGAGAGAGAAACATCGATGTGAAAGGGACACATCGAGTGGCTGCCACCCACACGACCAACCAGGGCCGGGGACAAACTGCAACGGAGGTACGTGCCCTTAGCAGGAACCGAACCCAGGTCTCTCTGGACCGCAGGCCCATGCTCTAACTGTTGAGCCAAACCGGCCAGGGCTTTTCCCATTGGTTTTATTTTAGAGATAGTGGAAGGGAGGGAGAGACGGGGAAAGAGAGAGAGAGAGAGAACGATATGAGAGAGACACACCATCTGGTTGCCTCCTGCACATGCCCTGACTGTGGCCAGGGATCAAACCTGCAACCCAGGTATGTGCTCTTGATTGGGAATCAAACTTGCAACCCAATCAAACTTGCTTGGGCTGATGCTCTAACCATTGAGTACACTGGCCAGGGTGAAATTGACCTCATTTTAATGACTCCTTATTATTCCAATTTGTCCCAGAATTTTACCCTTCCTCATGAATGGACATTTCAATTGTGTATTTTGAGAAGAGGAACTATTAAAATAATTGCCACTGTACAGTGAGTACCCTTGTACCTGTACCTCTGCGGCCATTTTGTTTTGAGAGAGAGATTTTTCTCTTCTGTCCATTTGGACTTTATTTTGATGCATGAACTAAGATCTACATGTATTTCTTTGTGTGTTTTATAAATAGCCAACTGGCACAGCACCATCTCCTGAGTATCTTTTTCCTTTTCCTTCAGTATACACACTTCGTTTATCCTCTATTAAGCTCTTGTACATACTAGGATGTCTTCCTGGGCTGTTGGGCAGTGCTGTGTATGGTTCTGATTTGTGTTCAGAGTGTCAGATGTGCGTGGGGGTGGGTGACCTGGGGAGGCAGCTCTGACAGTCTTATGGACAAGACCAGGACTGGCGGGTGCTGACCCTTACTTGTGTCAGAGCCCAGCGCCTAACTCATTTCTTCTTTGTTCCCAGTACCTGTTCCTGACCTTCCCAAGGATTGTCTTCTTGCTGGGCTTTGTCTCGGTGCTGAGCTTCCTCCTTGGTGGCTTCCTGTGCTTTGCTCTATACCTGGCCGCCACCAACCAGACCACGAACGAGTGGTCCAGAGGTGACCGGGCCTGGTGCCAGCACTGCCCCCAAGTGGTGGGGGCCTCATCAACAAGGCCCCAGGTCTACCGGAACATTCACTCCCATGGACTTTGGAGCAACCTTAGAGAGATCTTTCTACCTGCTGCTAAACATTATGGGAGAAAGAAGAAATGAGAACGGGAAGAGTATTACTGCCATTTAAATAGAGTGTATATTTATTTATGCATATGGATACTTCCCAAGCATTTTTTTCCCCCAGTTTTCTGCTCTGAATTTATAAATGGGCTTTCAGTGGTTAAGGAAGGAAGAGAAAGGAGCGTTGACTGAGTGCCCGGCAGAAATCTCCCCTGCTCATCCTTTGTTCACTCAGCTTGTTGGAACAGAGCCTCTCTGGAGTCCTGGTGCCTTCTCAGGGGTTCTAGTTGACCTTGGTCTCCCACTAGACTCTGCTCCTGGACAGGAGGGGCCTCGTGGTTGTGTCCCCTGATGTGTGGGAGGGTTTCAGCGGCTTGGAGTTGTGTCTGGCTGTGCCTTCCTGATGCCTTCCCATCTCCCAGAGAAAGCCCTTGGCGTTTTGTTTTCTTTCATCTCTTTAACCATACCCAGCATCATCAGCTCAGCCTTTGCACAGGCCGATTTCTGTGCTCGTGGCCTCCTGCTCGCTCTCCACTGGCCTTTTGTGGCCATATTCAAGTCTTCTCTGCCCTGTTTAAAAATCCCCAACTAACCCAGGTAATTCAGTTCAGGGAGATGAATGCAGGAAAGGAGATTCACAAAGTGCTGAGGGTTTTTAGGACGGGAGAATCTTTAGGAGCGGAGTACCCAAGCCCTTGGCCCTCCCAGGCCACTGTGAAGGGACTGGGGAGCTGGAGACTCTGGGGACAGGGACTGGCAGTCGGGTAGGGAGATACCAGCTGTCATCGCAGACCCTTGAGTTCAGGCACCATCGCCTATCCTTACTGGTGGGAAAGCACAGTGAAAGCAAACGTTTAGGCTTTGAAGCCAGGCTGGGGAGGCCAGGGGAGGAGCCTCGGGCCGTGCTGCAGGGGGTGGGAGTGGGGGCAGCGCAGGACATGAACGCTCCCTGCGGCTGTGGCACCCGGGCTTGGCCGCTCCGGACCCGCGCGGCCCAAGGTCCGAAGGAAGGCCAGAGGCGCGGGGGCGTGGCCTTCGGGGGCGGGGCGAGCCTCTGGCCGCGGCGGCGCCCTTCCGCGCCCGCGGGCCGAGCCGCCAGGTGGCGCCCTCCCGAGAGCGCGGCCCTCGCCGCGGAACGTGCTTGGCCCCTGCGGGCCGCCGTCGCCGCGCTCGGCATTCCCCCGCCGTTCCCCTCCGCGGCGTCGGGCTCCCGCGGCTCTCGGTGGTGCCGCCGTCGCACACCTGGGTTTCCTGCTGGCCGGCCGCACGGATGGCCCCCTGACCGAGCCCGAGCGGGGAGCGGCGGGCGGGCGGGCGCCGCGGCCCAGGCCCTGCTCGGCGGGCGGCGTGCGGGTCGCGGCCTCTTTGTCTCCAGGGCGGCGGGCGCGGCGGCGGGGCTCGGGGCGGAAGTCCCGCCGCGCTCCTGGAGCCCCGGGCCGCAGCGGCCGCGCCATGAGCGACATCCGCCACTCGCTGCTGCGCCGCGACGCGCTGAGCGCCGCCAAGGAGGTGCTGTACCACCTGGACATCTACTTCAGCAGCCAGCTGCAGAGCGCGCCGCTGCCCATCGTGGACAAGGGCCCGGTGGAGCTGCTGGAGGAGTTCGTGTACCAGGTGCCCAAGGAGCGCGGCGCGCAGCCCAAGGTGCGCGGGCAGGGCGGCCGGCGGGTGATCGCTGCGGAGCCGCACACGCCTGCTGGAGTGTGAGGCCGGGCACAGGCGCCTCCCGGCCGGGCTCCCTTCTTGCCCTTGGTGTTGCCCCTCCAGCGGCAGCCCCAGCTCTACCCCCTCGAGTCCTGAGCTTCGCTCAGCGGCGAGCCTGCTTTGCCGGGCGAGTGACAGCCATGCCTCGGTGGTCTGAAAGGAAGACACTTGAAAGACCTCCGTGGGCATTCTGAGCCCCCGGGATAGTGCATAATGATGTATCATAACATTTCCTGGGATTAACAGTAGAGATCTCCTTCCTGGCACCTGGGTTTTCGAGGGGTGAAACGTTCCCTGGGGAAAATAGCGTATTTTTCTTGATTTCTTCCTGTATGAGTTCATATGCATGTTAAAACTAAATTTCTCTTCGCTTCTCCTGGATTTGTTTTGTAGAGATTGAATTCACTCCAGGAGCTCCAACTTCTTGAAATCATGTGCAATTATTTCCAGGAGCAAACCAAGGACTCTGTCCGGCAGATTATTTTCTCATCCCTTTTCAGCCCCCAAGGGAACAAAGCCGATGACAGTCGGATGAGCTTGTTGGGAAAACTGGTCTCCATGGCAGTGGCTGTGTGTCGAATCCCAGTGTTGGAGTGTGCAGCCTCCTGGCTTCAGGTACTTCTCTAGTAAATGGCTTTTTCCTGAATCTCTAAAGAGCTTAGTGTCAGGAATTTTCAGTTAATTGGATTTTGAGAGGCCTTGGCCATGTAGTTATCTCCTTGATGTCACTACAGTGTATGCTGCTGCACAGACCTATGTTTGTATACAGGTAACAACCATTCTTGAGGAAACGGTAGTTTGTGATGGTAAATTAATTTTAAAAAGAAAAGCTCTATTTTCAGAACAAGTGAAAAAAAATTATTTTTCTTAGTTGAGAATGATAGGTAGGATTTTGAAACAATTGTGCATGCAGCCTCAGTGATAGGATTTGCTTTTTGTTTTTTAAGATCACTACATGTCAAATTTTGGCGTGTTGGCTTGTTTTCTATACAGTTAGGTGTGAGTTGTTTTGCCTTGTTCCAGGATGATATTCAAAAGTGAATGGCTGGTCTAACAAAGGGCATAACAGCTTTCTAGAGTGTTTATATATATCAAAGGAAAAATGTATATTTACAGTAGGTACTGTGGTATTTTGGAAGATTCGTTTTATTTTTCTTTTTTGTTTCTCAGAAGCTTTGAAACTGATAATCCAGTTAGAGTAATTATTAACTGAAAATTTTTTTTTTTTTTTTTTTTATCCTCACCTGAGGACATTTTTCTATTTTTTGTTCAGGTAGAGTGGGAGGGGGAGAGAGGAAGAGAGAGAGAAACATCGATGTGAAAGAAACACATCGAGTGGCTGCCACCTGCACGACCAACCAGGGCCGGGGACAAACTGCAACCGAGGTACATGCCCTTAGCGGGAACGAACCCGGGTCTCTCAGGACCGCAGGCCGACGCTCTAACCGCTGAGCCAAACCGGCCAGGGCTTAACTGAAAATTTTGATTAATAGTCTCAGCTATGTTAACAGAATTGACTGCATTCAGTTTCACAAACCTGTTCATTCTCAAGTTCTTGAAATCATTTTTAAAACTTTATTTAAATGTTTTTCTTTTAACTCTCACCCAAGGATATGTTGTTGTATTTTTTTTTTCCTCACCAGAGGATATTTTTCTATTTATCATTAGCTAGAGTGGGACTGAGGAAGAGAGAGAGAAACATCGATGTGATAGAGCCACATTGACTGGTTGCCTCCTGCATTACCCGACTGGGACCGGGGATTAACCGCAACCGAGGTATGTGCCCTTGGCCAGAATTGAACCCATGACTCATTGGTCTGCAGGCCCGATGCTCTAACCGCTGAGCCAAACTGGCCAGGGCCAAGGATATGTTTTTATTGATATTTTTTTAGAGAGAGGAAGGGAGAGACAGAAAAAAATATCAGTATGAAAGAGAAACATCAATCGTTGCACCTCGACTGGGGATTGGACCTAAAACGTAGGTATGTGCCTGACCGGGAATCAAACTCACAACCTTTTGGTGTATGGGATGATGCTCCCACCAACTGACCCACCCAGCTAGGACATCTTATAATTTTTTTTATCCTTGAAATTTGGCTAGCAAGCCCTGACTGGGTGGCTCAGTTGGTTCAAGTGTCATCTCCATACACCAAGGTTGTGGGTTTGATCCCCATTTGGGCCACATACAAGAATCAACCAATGAATGCATAAATGAGTGGGACAGCAAATCAATATTTTTGTCCCTCCCCCCAAAATCAATAATGATAAAAAAAAATATGGCTAGAAAAAGATAACATTGTTCTTTGTGGTACACAGGTAAATCTCAGTGTAATCTATGCCTTTATTCTCACCAGTATGATTTCTGAGACATCTGAATTGAGTGTGTGTTGTTGTTTTTAACAACATGGTTACCTCTGTCCCTTGGCAGCCTAGTGAAGTCAAGTTTAGTGTCGTGTAACTCGCATGATTTTCCATCTGTCTCTCATGATGCAGTTACTCTGGCAGAATGAGAGCAGATGTGAACAACAGGACTGGTCTTAGTGGTCTGGGTCAGGGTTTGCCACGGGGGTGAGGAATGGCAGAGATGGCTGGTTTGGTGTTGTGGGCAGAGTTCAGTCTGAACGGGCAATCTGGCCTGCTGTCTCCTTGCAGTTTCCCCGGGAGGCCACCTTGGGGCCCTGGCGTCCCGAGCAGCTGCTGAACGTGGCAGTAGTTACAGATCGGCATCTGAGTGAGAAGGAAAAAGGCCAGGGAGTGTGGCGATGTAGGACCTGAAAGTATTATGGACCCTGTAAGAGGATAGACCCGGGAGGGAAGTGGAGAGAATCCTGTGGCAGGTCACAAACGCTCCTGAAGCTCTTTAAAAGGTGGCCGCTGTTAACTTTTACCAGTGGAGTCTCCGCTGCAGCGTTACAGAAGTCGGAAAGGGTCTTTCCTACGTCAGCTTCGGAGCAAGGGCGAGCAGGCCTTTTTTGTAAGGGCAAGATCGTAGTTACATATGGGGTGTCCCAAAACAACATATACACAAAAAAGGTGTAATTATAAAGCCAGTGTTTATTAACATACATTTTATTTTCAAATTGTAATGGAATCCACAACCACTCTGTATACATTTTTGGGGGATACCCTGTATTTTAGGTTTTGCGGGTCCTATCGTGTCTGTAAGAACTGGTCAGCTCTGCCCTAGACATGCAGTGATAGGCTTAGACGATAGGCAGGCATGTGAGCGGGGCAGTGCAGTAAAACTGCGTTCACAAACAGGTGGGGGATGGATTTGGTCTGTGGGCTTGAGTTTGCCAAGCCCTGTGTCAGAGCAAGCTGTTAACCGCCTGGAGGGTTCTGCCAGTGCTGGTGTCTCCACCAGACAGATGTGCATAGCTGCTTGTCGCTAGCTCACGACACCTGTGCTTACACGGACTGTGGCTTCTTTGCAGCGGACGCCTGTGGTCTACTGTGTGAGGCTGGCCAGGGCCCTCGTGGATGACTACTGCTGCCTGGTGCCAGGCTCCGTGCAGACGCTGAAGCAGATATTCAGCGCCAGCCCTCGCTTCTGCTGCCAGTTCATCACTTCCGTCACTGCGCTTTACGACCTGTCGTCAGGTAACCGCCGAACAGGTTGTTGCCACTTTTGTTGCCACTAACACCCAGGTAGAAAAGTGTTCAGTGAGCGTTTTGGTGTTTTGGCTTTTTTTTTTCCCCTCTGAAGTGTGTGTTGTATTTTAGGTTAAAAGCTAAAGGAATGGGCCACCTGGACTTCTGAAATTTGCTAACAGGGAGCTTTCTTTAGTGATTTCCTTCCGTTGCCTGGTTCAGAATGGTCCAAGTGGCAGACAGCTCAAAAAATTAGGGTCTGGTGTCTGGGAAAGATGTGGCTTTCACCATAGGCTTGTTTTTCTTTTTTTTTTTTATCCTCACCCGAGGACATTTTTCCATTTTTTGTACAGATAGAGTGGGAGGGAGAGAGAGGGAGAGAGAGAGAGAGAGAGAGAAACATCGATGTGAAAGGGACACATCGAGTGGCTGCCACCCGCACGACCAACCAGGGCCGGGGACAAACTGCAACCGAGGTACGTGCCCTTAGCGGGAACCGAACCCGGGTCTCTCCGGACCACAGGCCAACGCTCTAACCGCTGAGCCAAACTGGCCAGGGCAGGCTTGTTTTTCTTAATCCTCACCCGAGGATATTTTTCTCTTTATCTTCAGATAGAGTGGGAAGGAGGAGGGGGGAGAGAGAGAGAGAGAGAGAAACATCAATGTGAAAGAGACACATCGAGTGGTTGCCTCCCGCATGACTCCAACCAGGGCCAGGGATGAACTGCAACTGAGGTACGTGCCCTTGACTGGAATTGAACCTGCGACTCCTTGGTCCTTGGTCCGACACTAACCACTGTGATAACCGGCCAGGGCAGACTTGTTATTTTTTTGATTCCTTCTTATTTTGATACATTTAAAAACTTCAGGAAAGTTGCAAGACTGTTACAACAAACACTCCTGTAGCCCACCTAGGTTCACCAAGGACAGCGTTTGCCGAACGTGCTGTTTCTTGCCCTTCCTTCCTCCTTGTCCACACACACTCACAGATATTTTCCCCCTGATCTTTTGAGTTTGTTGCCAGTGTTAAGCACTTAAGCGTGGATTTCCTAAGGACAAGACCATTCTCTTTCATAACCATGGTGTCATTATCACACCTAAGAAATTAAATATTGAGGGAATGCTATTGATTATCTCACACATAGCCTATATTCAGATTCCCCTGATTGGCTCTTGTATAGCCTCCCCTCCCTCCTTCAGGGATCAGGAGATGTCAGCATTCGGCTCAGCGATCATACATTGTACAGGGCTATTATGTCACTTTAGTCTTTAAATCTAGAACAGTTCCCAACATTTAAAAATATGTCTTAAGCCCTGGCCAGTTTGGCTCAGTGATTGGAGCATTGGCCTGCGGACCAGAGAGTCCTGGGTTCAGTTCCCGCTAGGGGCACGTACCAACAAAAATAAAATACAATAACATGTCTTGTGACATTGATTTTTTAAAGAGCTCAAGCCTGTTGTTTTGCAGACTGTCCCTCAGTTTGGATTTCTCTGAGGATTTCCTATGAAAAGATTCGAGTGAGCCCTGGCTGGTTTGGCTCAGCGGTTAGAGCATCAGCCTGCGGTCCAGAGAGACCCGGGTTCGGTTCCTGCTAAGGACGCGGGCCTCGGTTGCGGTTTGTCCCCAGCCCTGGTTGGGTCGTGCGGGTGGCAACCATTCGATGTGTCCCTTTCATGCCAATGTTTCTCCCTCTCCCCCTCCCACTCTATCTGAACAAAAAATGGAAAAATGTCCTCGGGTGAGGATAAAAAAAAAGAAAAGATTCGAGTGAAACATTTTTGGCAACAAGACTCCCTCTTGGTGCTGTGTCCTCGGTGCATCGCACCGGGAGGCGTGCACTCAGGTCTGCTCGTGGCGATGTTTTTGAGACTCCCTTAGCAGGATGCCAGAAGAGGGCCTCAGGTGGCCATTAGATGGCATTTGCCTTCAGCTGGGAGAAGCCCTTGTCCCTGTCCAGCAGCAACAGAGCCCTGGTCAGATCACTTTATGCAGATTCCCAATAAAGGAAACTGATAGCAGCTGCCCAGCTCTGGTTGAACTGGGGCAGGGGTGTGGCCCTTGTTTTCCACACGGGCAGTTAGGGCCTCGCCCTGGTGAGCAGCTTTCTCTGCAGAGCTGTTCAACACCTGCTTTTCTGTTTCAGGTTCCTGCTCTGCCTTCAGGTCTTGCCCTCAGAGGGTTGACAGTTTCCTTTTTTTTTTTAAGTATGTTTTTATTGATTTGAGAGAGAGAGAGGCAGGAAGAAGGAGAGAGAAACATTGATCAGCCGCCTCCTGCACACCCCCTACTGGGGATTGAGCCTGCAACCCAGGCATGTGCCCCGACCGGAAATCAAACCAGTGACCTTTTGGTGCATGGATGACATTCAACCAACTGAGCCACACCAGCCAGGACAACAGTCTCATTCTTATCCCGACCTGGTAGCTAATAGCTGTTAGTAGCTGGGAACAGTATTCAGGCCTTTTGCTTTCCAATAGGAAAGATTTAGTAAAACGTAGCTTACAGCATCGTATTGCTCTTTCAGTCTTCAGTTATTCTAGACCACTGAAGACAGAAATTGGCCTTAGCATTGGGAATGGGTTAGTTAACACATGGAAGAAGAAATCATGTTCGGGAAATACCACTAACATTCTTGAAGTGGATGTGGGACGAGAAGTTTTTCTCTCAGGCAGTCTGATACAACAGTGATTGCTTTTAAGCCACTTGATTGACGTGTGATCTCATAGGAAAAGCTGTACGTAGTTAGTGGGTACAACTTGATGGGTTTGGAGTAACAGGGATCACCAGGCACACAGCAGCCCGAGAAGGGGCTGGGCCTGGAGGCTGCTGTCAGTATGCTGCTGCTGCTGCTCTTGGGCGCTCCTGGTGACAGGAGAGCATTCCTGGGAGTCTGAGCCAGAACCACACCCAGGGAGCCGCTCCCTGAACCCAGCAGGACCTCCTGTGGCCTGAATGGGCTCTGAGTAGGATGGTTGTAGGGATTATTGACTCTCGAGTACACGCTCGTGTACACACATGGCACACATGCACACCCTGCCTTCAGGTTCTTGGAGGTGCCTCAGCTTAGATATAGAGGGAGTGGAATGCCAGAGAAGTGGGCGTTTGGTGTTTCCCAGACACGTGTCTCGGGGGGGATTGGGGACCAGACACAGGATCACCCACTGTTTATTTTGCCATGTAAGGATCACAGACAGCTGCTTCCTGCTGTTACCATCATTTCAGCAGAAGGGTTGGGTGCAGTGGTTTAACACCCAAACAACAGGCAGAATCTCGGTGTCTCCTGAGAAAGAGCACTCAGGAACCTTTCACCGACGTGTCTCCCTCACCCCACACTTTCCCTTGTCATGCTTGGCCCTGGCCGGGGCTCTATCATGAGCTGCGGGGCGCACAGCCCCAGAGACGGGAGGCTGGGGACCTCTCCCGTGCACAGCCACCTAAGGGTATTGCGTGCTGATCCCAGAAAGGGCCGTGGAGCCTCGTGGTTAGGAGCCGGGCCACCTGGCGTTAGGTCTGGGCCCACCATATGCTTTTTTTTTTATAGCATGTTTTTATTGATTTTTTTTTTTTTTAGAAAGAGAGGAAGAGAGAGCTAGAAACATAGTGCACCTCCCCTTTTGGGGATTGAGCCCACAGTTGGGGCATGTGCCCTGGCAGGGAATCAGACCAGAACCTGGCAGTTGACACTAGTCCACTGAGCCACACTGGTCGGCCTGCCACATATTTGATGAGTCTCGGGAAAATGACTTTACGTCACTGAGCCTGTTTCCTCTGGGGTTGTTTGAGGGTTAAATGTGTTAGTCTGTAAAGGAATCAGACCAGTACCTGGAATGTAGTAAGCCCAAAAAGAATGTCAACACATGTATTTATTATTGTTGTTGTCTGTTTAGGCTGTAGAATGTACCCGTTCTAGGGTCACAGGAAATCAGGCTGTTGCTTAGACAAGGGTTCCAGGTTTGGGGCTGGGGTGGCCCTTGGCAGCTGACAGATCATTGACAACGCCAGGCTGTTCCCTGAAGGCCACCAGAACTGTCATGTACCCTGGAGGAGACACCAAACACAGAAATGAAACCTACGCCCAAGGGGAGGGGATGAAGTGTGGTGATAGTTTTACATGTAAGAAGTTTGGAATTTTATTTAAAATGACACGTAGGCCCTGGCCGGTTTGGCTCAGCGGTTAGAGCGTCGGCCTGCGGTCCGAAGAAACCCGGGTTCGGTTCCCGCTAAGGGCACGTACTTCGGTTGCAGTTTGTGCCCAGCCCTGGTTGGTCATGCGGGTGGCAGCCACTCGATGTGTCCCTTTCACGTCGATGTTTCTCTCTCTCTCCCTCCCACTCTATCTGTACAAAAATTGGAAAAATGTCCTCGGGTGAGGATAAAAAAAAAAAAAAAATGACACGTAGGATGAACTTTCAGGTCATGGTGGAGTTCTAGGAGTTGTTGTGTTAACAAGTATTTCTTGAGCCTTCCCTTGGCCAGACAGTCCTGTCACCGGGGATATAACACTGAGGAAGGCGAGAGTCCCAGCCCTCAGGAGGGGATATTCTGGGGAATGAGACAGAAAATAGATGAGGAAAGAAGTAGATAATCGGGCTGTCAGGTGGTAAGTACTGCGAGTTTAGGTGGTCCATCTCCCCATCGCCCACTTCTGTCACGGGCGCTGGAAGCCCCCTGACTTAACGGTGTCTTTGCAGATGACCTCATCCCACCGCTGGACTTGCTTGAAGTGATTGTCACCTGGATTTTTGAGGACTCAAGGTTGATTCTCATCACTTTTTTAAATACTCCGATTGCAGCCAATCTCCCAATAGGATTTTTAGAACTCACCCCGCTCACTGGACTGATTCGCTGGTGTGTGAAGGCCCCTCTGGCTTATAAAAGAAAAAAGAAGCCTTCCTTATCCAATGGCCACGTCACCACCAAAGCTGCCCAGGACTCGGGAGGGATGGACAGAGACTCCCACCTCTTGTACTCAAAACTGCATCTCAGCATCCTGCAGGTGCTCATGGTGCTCCAGGTGCACCTAACCGAGAAGAATCTCTACGGGCGCCTGGGGCTGATCCTGTTTGACCACATGGTCCCGCTGGTAGAGGAGATCAACAGACTGGCAGATGAACTGAACCCCCTCAATGCCTCCCAGGAGATCGAGCTCTCTCTGGACCGCCTCGCACAGGCTTTGCAGGTGGCCATGGCCTCCGGAGCCCTGCTGTGCACAAGAGGTGGGTGCCTTCCTGCCTCCGCCTTCCGGGATGGGGGGTGGGGACACACCACCATCCATCCCAAAGGAAACGGGTTCCTGGACCAGTATGGCCTTCTGCCTCTTTTAAGACTTCTTCCTGTTAGTGACCCTGGGAAGTAGGAGGAGTCTCAGGACACACCCAGGCAGAGCACTGTGACCATGACGTCGCTGTGTCTCCTGACCACCGATGCCCAGGACTGGGACGCCTCGGGAGGTGTGAAAGCTTAGTATCTTTCCTCCTAGGGAATCTTTTCTTTTCTCGTAGTCCTTTATTTATTGAGGCGTAATTGACATGCAGTAAAATGCATAGGTTCAAATGCATAAACATTCCCATCACCTGTTTTGAGGGTTCCTTACATTCTCCTGCATTTTAGTGTTTGCTCCCAGGAGAATAAGCTTGTGCTGATGGCACACCTGTGTTTGCCTTTTTATTTTTTTTAATTGATTTTAGAGAAAGAGGAGGGGGGAGAGAGAGAAACATCAGTGTGAGAAAAACATCAATAGGTTTCCCTGAATGGGGGTTACCCCAACTTAGGTATATGCCCTGACTGGGAATCGAACCCGCAACCTTTTGGTGTATGGGGCGACACTCCAGTCAACTGAGCCACACCAGCGAGGGTTGTGTTTGCCTTTGAACTGTTGGCTCCCAGCAGCTGCTCGTGGCCCCAAGCCATGGTCACTGGTGATGGGTTTCTCTCTTATCACGCTGAGCTCTTAAAGCCTTTGGTGACGATCTGCTCAGTTAGAGCCCTGCCTTAGGGCCCTTTGCCAGCTTTTGACAAATTGCCGATAGAGCTGCCCCTTCCCTAAGTGGTATATTTTATTTTATTAGGGCCCAGTTTATTAAAGCAAAAACTTTAAAAAAAGAGAATAGTCTTGGCTGGTTTGGCTCAGCGGTGAGAGCGTTGCCTTGCGGACCAAAGGGTGGGAGGGTCAATTCGTGGGTTCGGTTCCAGTCAAGGGCACGTGCATGGGTTGCAGGTTTGATCCCCAGCCCCAGTCAGGGTTCTGCAGGGGGCAACCAATCAATGTGTCTCTCTCCCATTGATATTTCTCTCTCTCTCTCCCTCCCTCCCTCCTTTCCACTCTATCTGAAATCAATGGAAAGGTATTCTTGGGTGAGGATTTTTAAAAAAGAAAAGAAAGAATACAGTTTCTACATGATTCTAGGAAAACTTAGTATCAGACAGTAGCACTGTCTCACTGACACTCTCGAAAAGACATCAGTGACCATTTCATCTTGTGTTCTCCACTCCGTCCCTTAATTGTGTATCTTCTTGATTTCAGATGATCTGAGAACCCTGTGCTCCAGGCTGCCTCATAATAAGTAAGTGCTCTCTTAAGACTTCTAGTTGGGTGGGGGTTGCAGGTGGGTGCAAGGCAGGGTGGACCCCTGTCTTGGTGTGCAGGGCCCAGAGCTTCTGTGTATAAGGAGCTCCTTAAGGACTGATAATAAGCGGGGTACAGATTTGATGGCGTGACCCATTTGAGAGGAAGGCCTGGTAGGGGGTAAATCAAAGATTTACTGGAGTCAAGGAAAGAAACCAGTATCAACTTAGGGTGTGATGCTCACTGTGTGCTTGTGCGTACATAGGTTTTGTGGTGACATTGGTGCACAATGTTGGTGACGTGAGTTGCACAGCCATTTGGGAAATACTGCAGAGCCGCAGCCCTGGGGCACCGTGTCGCCCAGGCTGGCGCGTTAGCATCGTTGGGACATTGACCGGTGCTGGGCACGGTTCTGTCTGGTTTGTTGTGATGTTTGGGCCGTCTCTGCCTGTCTGCCTGTCTCTGAGCCTCAGCTGACCCCCTTGTAAAATGGGGGCACTGATTCACCTGCCTCTTGGGGTTGTAGTGAGGATTAAGCTGGGTCACACTTATACATTTCTCAGCATAGTCTATGGCGTAAGGGGCTCTCCATAAAGGGTAGTTATTGTCGTGATTCGGGGAAGCAGTGATGATGGTGGTGGAAAGGAGCTGTGGTCACACAGCTTCTGGGAAGTATTCCAGCCCTGCTACTTTCCGTCTTTGTGCCTGCAGGCAAGTTCCTTATCTCCCACTGCCTCCTTTTCTCTGTAAAGGCAGAAAATAGCGGTACCTGCCTCATGGCCTCTGCCTCCTCCCCATCCTGTTGTAGGAGTCTTGTGAGCATCAAATGAGTAAATACACAGAAAGCACTTGAAACAGTACTTGTTATGTAGCCAAGTGTCTAAGAAGTGTTAGCTGCTGTCACTTTTACTATTACTTCCATAATTTAGGAATTCTACATAACCTAATTAATTTCAGTGACTAAGAAGCAAAAGGCTATGTGTACAAAAATATTTCATGCAAACACTGTATTAGCAAAAACTTGAAAGCAACCTAACTATCCTGCAGGCAGGGATACTTAGTAAGTTTGTAGTGTTACATGAGGATAGAACATTGTATCCATTAAAAGTAGTCACTGGCAACTGGCTGTGGGAAATTAGTAAGTTTGTAGTGTTACATGGTAGAACATTGTTTCTGCCAGAAGTATTCGTTGTGGCAACTGGCTGTGGGAAATTAGTAAGTTTGTAGTGTTACATTGTAGAACATTGTTTCCGCCAGAAGTATTCATTGTGGCAACTGGCTGTGGAGGTGTGTACTGGAGGCAGAACTCCCACGCAGGGCTTACAGAAATGAAACAACCCAGGTACCGAGGTTTGTTGGTTGACATTCTTTTTTCATATGATTGCATTGTTTTTTAAAAAATATGTTTACTTATTTCAGCCCTGGCCAGTTTGGCTCAGTGGTTAGAGCATTGGCCTACGGTCCGGAGAGACCCGGGTTCGGTTCCCGCTAAGGGCACGTGCCTCTGTTGCAGTTTGTCCCCGGCCCTGGTTGGCCGTGCGGTTGGCAGCCACTCGATGTGTCCCTTTCACGTCGATGTTTCTCTCTCTGTTCCTCTCTCCCTCTCCCACTCTACCTGAACAAAAAATGGAAAAATGTCCTCGGGTGAGGATTAAAATATATATATATATATATATATGTATATATATATATATATTTACTTATTTTAAAATTTATTTTAGAGAGGAAGGAAAAGGGAGAGAAAGAGAGAGAGAAACATTGATGTGAGAGAGAAATATTGATCGGTTGCCTCCTGTAGGGGCCACATCTGGGGATTGAACCTGCAACCTGGGTATGTGCCCTGACTGGGAATCGACCCTTCGACCCTTCAGTGCACAGGACAGTGCTCCAACCAGCTGAGCCACACTGATGAGGGCCACATTGGTCTTTAGCAGGGGTGGTAAGGCCCAAGGGCTGGAGTTGGCCGGCAGTGTGGACAGAGGATGAACGAACAGCGCCGTGTGTGCCAGGGCCAGCGAGTCTGGGCAGGGATTGGAGGCTGATACAGAAATGTACGTGATTTGAGGCCAAAAGATCGGCCAGATGCTAATTCATGAGCTACCAGTGAGACAGCTGCAGCCTGGGCACCGTCACCCTCCCGTGTGCCTGGGGGACTCCGTGTCCACTGTGCGGGGGAAGCTCAGTCAGGTCCGGGTAGATATGGAAATTGAGAAGGTGGAGCACAGTAGTTCCTGGCAGGACAAAATGGCCCCGCTTGAGGTTTCTCCATGGTGTGGACAGCTTGTCCAGAGGGCTGCCTTGCCCCCGGAGCCCACACTTCTTTCTTCTGGGCTCCAAGAAAATGCCCTGTCATCTGAGGACGTTAATGGATGCGGGGACCTTTACCCCTCTTACAATAATCCCTTTGTAACATTTCCCTTCTCTGTACACAGCTTTTTTTTTTTTTTTTTTAAGGTTTATTGTTTTCAGGGCCTTAAAATAATGATAGGCTATATATGCTTTGTCATCTGAGTGCCTAACTAGTGCCAGTGGGGACCCCTCTGGGACATTTAACAGCCCCGGCTGGGCCCTGCTTCTGCTGATGTGCCGTCCGAACCCCAGCATCCGGGGCAGCCTGGCCCTGAGGTGGGGAAGGAGAGAGGAAGGTCACTTGGAATACGTCTTTGCTTTCTGATTGTCTCTTTTGTGTTAACTGTCTTTCCAACTAGACTGGAAACTTCTTGAAACCTCGCTGTCTCTGGCAGGGTGTGAAGGAGGTCCAAACTCATGTCCTGAATTTGGCCTCTGTCATTCTCCCCCTTAGGTGTACTCTCTTGTTTATCTCGGTTGAGTTTCCTACGTAGAGCCACAGAAAAGTGACGCAAATGGAAAGGGGCCCCGAAGAGCTTCAGGCCACCGAAAGGCACCCGCTTTCTGCCTACTTGGGTGGGAGTGTCCGAGGGTCAGACTGCAGAAGAGCCAGCCCCTCTCTCAGAGAGGTCACAGGCCGACAGTAGTCAGGGTCCACCCAAAGGCACTGTCGCTGGGGCCAGCAGGACAGTGGCAGGGTAGCGCCCTGAGACAAGGAAGCTGAGAGGTGTGAACGGGACCTGGCAGCTGGGAATTGGTGTGGAGAGAGGGGCATGGACACGGGAACCCGGGAGCCAGCTGGAGCTGAGGCCAGGCTGGGAGGAGGCCTCTGTCCTGGAGGGGGCGCTCCTGAGAAGGTGTTCGGCTGGGGCTGACCTGGAGCTGAGGCCGGGCTGGGAGGAGGCCTCTGTCCTGGAGGGGGCGCTCCTGAGAAGGTGTTCGGCTGGGGCTGACCTGGAGCTGCGAGCAGGGTGGGGCTGAGGCCTGGGAAAGAGAGGTTAGGAATCTCTGTTGCGGGTGCTGGGCTGGCAGAGTGGAGTCAGGAAGGTGAACTAGGAAGAGGAACCCTTTAAGGGGTTTCCGAAGGGACCAGACTGGAAAGGACGCTGAGTTCAGGACGGCAGAGGATTCCTGGGACGGAGGCTACTGACACCTGAGCCAGAGCGAGGAGAGCACGGGCTGGACGAGGTGCTCCGCACCTGGGCGTGGGGTCACGGAGGGTGGAAGGGAGTTGCAGTGGGAAGGGTGGGTACAGAGACCCAGGTATGTTGAAGGAGGGGCGTGCGTATGGGTGGGAGGGGATGCGCCCGAGGCCTGGGAACCTGTTACCCAGGACAGAAGGAGCAAGTGGCCGAACGGAGCTCCTCGGGCAGGAGGGGCAGGGAGTGGGCCCCTGAAGGTGGGTCAGGCTGGGCCTGGCCTGTCCAGGACTCTGGGTGTTGTGTGGCTTTACTGAGAATTCAGTTCGGTCTGTCATTAAGAATGACTGAGGAAAGTGCCTGCTTGCCGCGTGTCTCAGCCCCGCCTCCCCTAAGTGCGGATGGGTGAGGCCGAAACGGGTGCTGGCCTGCAGCCTTGCCCAGGCCCCGAGGTTGCTTTGTGGACTGCAGCCCTCCACCAGGGTCCTGTGGGCCTGCCGCCCCTGCTGGGACACCTGCAGCTTCCTCAGGCTCCTTCCTCCAGTGTCGCCTTGTCCCCTGGAGGATCCTGGCTTTCCTCAGTCCTGGCCCCTCCTTTCTCCTCTGCCCTCCCAGGCTACGTCCATCCACCTCCTCCTGTCCCTGCCCAGCCACAGGCCACCCTCCCTGTTCTCAGTTTCCCCGTCTAGTGCGTCTGTCGGCTCGCGAGTGAGGTCCTGCACATGTCCAGGCCTTCTGTCCTGTCTCCCATGACGCCAAGCCCAGGGAACAGAGCCGGCTTGATGCCACGTGTAGGTGACTGTCACCAGTGGCGCCTGTGTCTGACCCTTCTCCTTGTGTTTGCAGCCTGCTGCAGCTGGTGATCTCGGGCCCCGTGCAGCAGTCGCCACACACCGCGCTGCCCCCCGGCTTCTACCCGCACATCCACACGCCCCCGCTGGGCTACGGGGCCGTGCCTGCCCACCCCGCCGCCCACCCCGCCCTGCCCACACACCCCGGGCACACCTTCCTCTCGGGAATGACGTTTCCGTTCAGGCCCATCCGCTAGGCCTGCCCGCCTGCTGCCGCGTGGCACTGTGCCTTCTGCGCGGGTGGAGGGCCTTGCAGAGCGGGGGGCGACCCCACAGAAGAGGACCTTCGGGAGGCAGCCGGGAGGCCCCTCCTCACCAGCCTGGCTGTCTTGGGGCAGAAGTTTTGTGATGTCACAGGCCTGGTGCCTCCTACCTGGTCACATTCGGGAGCGCCCAGTCCGGGTAGAAGAGGAAGTGTCCTGCCCTCCGCAGAGCGATGTGGGCATCTTCAGAAGGTGCCGCTCCTGAGAGCCTGTTGTCTCGTGTGTCGTTTCAGATGCACACGCTCTGAGCCTGTGCTGCTGGGGACACGGGTGTGCGAGGCGGCATTTGCACGTCCACTTGTCTGCTTCTCTCCTTGCGAAGAGATGTGTCCCTGCACGAACGCAGGTCACCCCAGCTCTGCGAGCTCCCGTGAAGCCTGTGCTGTCGACAGCGCGTGGCGGTTCAAGGGAGCCCGTGGGGATCGCCGTCACCAAGGCAGGGAGCGTCTGTTCCGCTGGGGTCTCTAAAGTTTCTTTCACATGTTCAAATAAATCTTTTCTAAACAGTTTCATAGACTTTATGGCATGTATTGTAAGAACTTACTAAGTGTGAGCTGCAGTGGCTTCCTCCCCAGGCTCTGTGGTCATAGGGAGAGGACTGGATACGTTTTAGCTGCTCTTTCGACAGAAACACCACAAACGGAGGCCCCGCCTGCGCAGGGCGAGGGGCTCCAGGGCGTCGGCTGCTCCCGGTCTGTTTGCTGCCGGTGCAGTTCTTTCCCTCGGGTACAAAGCAGCCCTCAGGAGTGTCCCAGCACCCACTGGAAGGTGTGCGCTTTCAGTTCTCACTTATCCGTTTGGGGAGAAAGAATGACACCAGTAACCACGAGCTCCCCTAGGCCGAAACCGAGGAGTGAGACACGGTCACGGCACACGGTGAGCACCGATGACTAAGGACTCACGGGGACGAGATTTAACCTGGGGTTGGTTTGCCCTTCTGCCGGCTGAGGCCATGACCTGGAAGGTGGGAGCAAACCAGACTGCCTGAGCACTTCTCGTGTGTGTCCGTCCGCTTCAGGTCTGGAGTTGAAGGGTCCCTGCAGGTAAGGGTGCAGGTGCAGTGCGAGGCCTCGGTCGGCCAGGACCTGAGCACAGGTCTTTCCAGGGCCCCAGGGCTCAGCTCCCACAGCCACCGCCGGTGTGAGGACCAGCCTGAGAATGACGCCTGTCTGGAGCCTGTTTTTCAAGTGCTTTCGAATGTGCACATCAGTGGTTTTCAGTAAATTTACAGAGTTTTGCAGCCATCAGTACTATCTACTTTAAAACACTTCACCAGCACCCGGGCTGGTTTGGCACAGCGGTTAGAACATCGGCCTGTGGACCAAAGAGTTGCCGGTTCGATTCCAGCCAGGGGCACGTACCTTGGTTGTGGTTCATCCCCGGCCCCTGGTTGGGGTCATGCAACCAGTCGATGTGTCTCTCTCACGTCCATGTTTCTCTCTCCCACTCTATCTGAAGATCAGGGGAAAACTATCCTTGGGTGAGGATTCAAAACAAAAACAAAAAACATTTCGTCATCCCCCAGAGAAACCCCCACACTCATTAACAGTCACTACCCCTCTCCTCCGAGCCCCTGGCAACCGCTGGTCTACTTGCTGTCTCTGGATTTGCCGCCTCTGGCCACTTCGTGCAAACAGCACACAGGATGTGGTCTCTCGTGCCTGGCTTCCGTGAACCCGGTGTGTTCAGCATTCCTCCATGTCGCAGCAGGGGTCAGTACTTCATGACCTTTGTTTTTCTCCTCACCCTAGGGTATGCTTACTGATTCGAGAGGGAGAGAGAAACATCGATGTGAGAGGACAGCGGTTGGTGGCCTCCACACAGGCCCTGACCGGGAACAGAAGCCACAGCCTTTCAGGGCATGGGTGACGCCCAACAGCCGAGCCACACTGGCCAGGGTGGTACCTCATTACTTTCTGTGGCCCAGTGAGACCATTGTGCGGGTGTGTACCACCTTCTGTTTATCCAGTTTTGAGGAGATGGGTGCTTGAACCCCTTGGCTTCTATGGGTGATGCTGCTACGGACGAGTTCTGCTTCGATTCTCGCAGACATGCACACTGTACACATTTATATGGAAACGCTGTGTGCAGTGTTTTCTCAATGTGGCAAATTCAGAAACAGCTTGAAGAGCCATCGCTGGAGAACCAGCCAGTCCCGGGGTAGGGACGGCGATGGTGCCGTTTCCGGGAGCAGACGGCAGGAGGAGCTGGGGGCCGGGACTGGAGAGGCTGCAGCTGCCGGGTGCTGTCGCTGGGCACTCGGACCCAGCCGAGTGCTGCCAAAACTCGTTTTCAGGAGAAGACAGAAATGCGTTTTCATGCTGTATTTTTTAAATTTAAAAACCACGTTTGGTGTTAGAAGTTGTGGGGGAGTGGGGGGTGGAGAATGGGTAATAATCAGAAGAGGCTTCTTTGGTGCAGGGACAGGTGTGTGCAGTTGGTGTACATGGAAGCTGCGCACCAATGTGCACTTTTCTTTTTCTTTTTTTTATCCTCACCCGAGGACATTTTTCCATTTTTTGTTCAGATAGAGTGGGAGGGAGAGAGAGGAACAGAGAGAGAGAGAGAAACATCGACGTGAAAGGAACACATCGAGTGGCTGCCACCCGCACAACCGACCAGGGCCGGGGACAAACTGCAACCGAGGCACGTGCCCTTTGCGGGAACCGAACCCGGGTCTCTCTGGACCACAGGCCGACGCTCTAACCGCTGAACCAAACCGGCCAGGGCTGATGTGCACTTTTCCATGTGCTATCAGATGCTGACAGAAACGCCCTCCCCCTTTTTCAGGCTGTGCCCTCAAACACAAACAAGAACACCTCACAACACTGGACTAACTGATACGTTCATTAGCCAGATTTTACTGGCGGGCTTCCTGTTTTGGTCCCTGGGCTGCTGACATGGGAAGATCCTCCAGAAATATTGCCACGTTGAAGCATTCATGGCAGTATGGAGAGTGTAATGTCACGTAGGAAAAACAGAACAGGCCCTGGCCGGTTTGGCTCAGCGGTTAGAGCGTTGGACTGTGGTCTGGAGAGACCCGGGTTCAGTTCCCGCTGAGGGCACGTGCCTCAGTTGCAGTTTGTCCCCGGCCCTGGTTGGGTCATGTGGGTGGCGACCACTCGATGTGTCCCTTTCACATCGATGTTTCTCTCTCTCCCTTCCTCTCTCTCCCTCCCACTCTATCTGAACAAAAAATGGAAAAATATCCTCGGGTGAGGATAAAAAAAAAAAAATGAGCCCTGGCCTGTTTGGCTCAGCGGTTAGAGCATCGGCCTGCGGTCCGGAGAGACCCGGGTTCGGTTCCCGCTAAGGGCACATACTTCGGTTGCAGTTTGTCCCTGGCCCTGGTTGGTCGTGTGGTGGCAGCCACTCGATGTGTCCCTTTCACATCGATGTTTCTCTCTCTCTGTCTCTTCCTCTCTCTCCCTCCCACTCTATCTGTACAAAAAATGGAAAAATGTCCTCGGTGAGGATTAAAAAAAAAAAAAAATGACACATACCAAACTGAAACCGGTGGAAACCTCTCGGGATGAGGCTGGGAGTGAGGTCAAGACCAAAGGAGACCTGGCCTTATCTATATAGTTTTAAAGTTTCAATTTTATTTTGAAGTTTTGAATTGAAAACCCAGTCCATCCCTAGTCACCGTGAAAGACTGCAAGAGTTGAGTCACCCCGACTACTGGAAGTTGAGAGAAGCCCCCTCCTGGTGCATATACCAGCCAATACTGCCTGTGTTTTACTTTTTTATAAGAGTGATGTACTCACGTGTTACTTGTCTAATTAAAAGTTGTTTTCTAAGTGCATTTTAGAACTTCTTTGCCGACAGGTTGTAGAGAACTTCCGGGTCAGATGCTGGGAGGCAGGTAAGACAGCACTCAGACTTGCCCCGAAGCCTGAGGGACTCAGGGTCTAGGTGGGAGTCCACTCGGAACCCCTCTCTCCATTGTGCAGGAGCCCTAAGGGCACCATTGGTAAGAACAAAAGACTGGGGAAGGTTCTGGGCCCTAACTGAGCACAGAAAACAGGGGAGGGGGACTTGTTTCTGAGAAGCGAGTGAGAGCTGGTCCTTACCCCAGGCGACAGCATGGGTTACCCCAGGGCATCTCCCGCTGTAACCTCAGTTCATGGGGATCCCTAGACTTGTCCTCTGGAGGAGAGGCATTTGTCCTAGGCCTCAAAGAGCCCACAAACGGTTGTTCAGGGACAACACCACGCAGGGAGAAGTGCCCAGGGCACCATGAGCGGGAACTGTCAGGCAGCCAGCGGCAGAAACAGGCTCAGGCCAACAGGATTGTGGCTCAGACGAAACACTCAGGCTTACTTTGTTTAAAGGAACAAAAGGCGAGGATGGCTGTATCTACAGGGAAAAAGAGCCAGATGGAACTTCTAGAAATGAGAAGTATAATCACACAGAAGTCTTCCAGCCACTTCAAAACGCAGTGTTTTAGTGATATCTATGCCTTCTTCAGCTGAGGAGATGATGCTCAACATCACCAAGAGTTTTTAAAAATGCACACTAAAGCAGTGAAGTAATTTTGCCTGTCACACTGACAGTTGTTAAAAAATTGTTGTCAGCAAGTGTACATGGCAGAGTCATTGGCCAGCTCCTCTTCCTCCATGAAGAACCTCACTTGGGGCAAATACTGCTCACACGCCTGCTCCTAGACCCTGTGTGACTTAAGAAACCCACCCCCAGCCTGGCTGGTGTGGCTCAGTGGTTGAGCATCGATCCATGCACCAAGAGGTCACTGGTTCGATTCCCAGTCAGGGCACGTACCCGGGTTGTAGGCCCGACCCCCAGAGGGGGGCATGCAGGAGGCGGCCAGTCGATGTTCTCTCTCATCAGTGTTTCACTCTCTCCCTCTCCCTTCTTCTCCCTCTCAAATCATTAAAGAAAAACAAAAAACTTCCTTTCATGTACTCAAAGCTGTAAACCTACTTTTGCCCACATATACATATATGGTTTGACCAACAAGTCTTCTGTTAGGGATATGTCTCACAGAAGAACTCTCACAGTTAAATTCAGTTTTAGGTACAAGCATGTTAGTAGCAAAAGAGGAGAAGCAGGTTCATTGGTAGGTACCTGGGTAAGTAAATGAAGGCGTATCTTTGCAATTGGAGGCTGGGGGAGTTTTCCCCAATTAGGTGAATGTCCTATATGGAAAGGTGTCCGGAATATATTTCAAGAGCAAGGTGTTGCCCTGGCCGGTTTGGCTCAGCGGTTAGAGCGTCGGCCTGCGGTCCGGAGAGACCCGGGTTCGGTTCCCGCTAAGGGCACGTACCTCGGTTGCAGTTTGTCCCCGGCCCTGGTTGGTCGTGCAGGTGGCAGCCACTCGATG